CCCCAAAACCCCAAAACCCCAAAACCCCTGGTTATTCCCATCTGATTGTTCCTGGAAGAATTTTTATCAATACTTGATTAATCATATCTGAGTGTATCTAAAGATCTTCTTTGGCTTCATTCTCATCTTTTGAAGCAGTATCTGAAGCCGATGAGGTAGACTTAGTTGAGGTCTGAGATTGCTCCTGATGAAGCTCTTGATAAACCTCTTTATGATACTTCTGTATCTTCTCTGAAGAACAGTTTTGAATAAAATGGGATACTTTCTTAGAATATTCTTCAGGGTTCACGAAATATGGGAAGAAATGATCCCTAGTATCAACATCATAGAGCTTCTTATACACCACATTATTGGCTTCATGATATAATTTATACATTCCTTCAGAGGGAGTGTTTCCATCATCAACTGAGACGATAAACATCATTGGTAAAGTTAAGTTCTTCATCTTAGACCCATTTTCTAAGTTAATACGTAGAATATATGGTAAAATTGGACTAATAGGAGGATATTTGGTACTCACAAGATGCTCAACATTGACCAAAGTATTCTGCAGAATAAAACCTTTGATCTTCTCCTGATATTTAGTGGCAACATTGATAGAAGGAAATCCTCCCATCGAGCATCCAAGAAGATAGATTTGATCCTGATCTATCTCTTCCATAGATAAAACATGCTCAAAGATAGCTTCTGAGTCTATAAGAACTCCTTCTTCTGAAGTAAATCCTTCAGAAAGTCCATAGCCCTTGTAATCAACCATGATAACATTATATTTGTCTTGAGAATCCCAGTATTGTTGGATGGTATATAATCTAGCTGGAGGATAATAATCGTTTTCGTGGAAGTACACAATTGTAGGGATTTTGTCAGAAATGCCTATAAATGAAACAATCAACAAAAGATAAATAAAAATATTTGAAAACTACCTTCATGATACACAAACCAGCCGTGTAACTTTCTGATCCTGGAATCTTCTCCTCTGTCATCTGGACTGAGAACCGTAAGATTTTTGTAAGTCATTCCTAATTGGTCAGGACTCCAGTATTCAGGCATCACTTTCTCTAGCTGATGATGGTAAATATGCCCCATTGTTCTGCTTTTCTGTAAGAAAAATGAAATAGGTAAATTAAAACAATAAACTAGCATTAAGAAGTTTGGATAAAATCTCAAGACGGAAACACTCAAAATTATCTTACCCCCAAATTCTGGAAAGCAGCTCTTTCCTGAAAAATGACAGCAACTGCAAAGACCAATATTGCAGCCCCAATCAATCAAAACACTACTATGAACAAGAGGTTTATGATACAAGATTTGCAGTTCATATTTTCAAATAATAAATATCGTGTAGGGGTTTTGGGGTTTTGGGGTTTTGGGGTTTTGGGG